ATGCTGTTAGCCTTTTTCTCTGATGCACTATCAGTTGTCACTCTTGTGAATGACACCAATGTAAAACAGAAATGACAGTGAAATTGAGGTGGAAAAGTATAGTCAGTATTGGTTTCTGTGTTTTTTTGGAGGGCTAATTTAATAGTTTAAAGCCCCAGAGTCTCTTCTCTAATGATTGGATACAGCAGAGGTGACATTGGTGTGCCATAACCTGGGTCACTGCTGCCTTCCAGAAGGAGAGAGCACTGCTGAAGCTTTTTCTGTGCAAATCTTGATGTACTTTCCATCTCAAAATCTGTCTCTGAAGTGATGTTTGCTGCTCTGTGCTAACTGTACAGGATAAATCAGATTTATCCCCTTCAAGTGACTTTCCCAGTAGCCCTCTCAGCATTGAGGAGATGTCAGGGATGGTCTGGGAAAAAGAGGTTCTGGGCAGGGTAGGACCTCTCCCTTTTGGAAGCCCAGGGTTGTGTCATCTGAACCTGGCTGTGACAGCACAGAGTGACCATGATACAAGGAGAAGCCATGCTCTCTAAGTGCCTGGATAATGCTTCTGACTTCCCTTTATGGTCTGTTACTGAAGATAGCAAAAAAAAAAATAATTCAGTTTTCATTTAATTTGAGATGTGATGTGCATGCAGAATCTCTTGGTGCCCTCTGAAGTATATGTAGACTTTAAAGATCAACAAGCAACACTTCTAGTAGTAAAGAAGGAACATTTTTATCAGTGCTAATCTCTTAAGGCATACCACACTTTTGAAGATGTATTTTCAAAAATAATCTTCATGAGATGCAGAATGTGCATGCATTTCAAAATCTGTTTTTACTTAGGTAATAAACTGTAAAGACTGTGGTTTTGGAAGACAGAATGGGGATGTTGGGGAAGTGGGGCAAATCTATCCCTTGCAGAAATACAAATGTTTGGTTGTGAGGGGACAAAGTACATTGTTCTTTGAAAGGTCATCCTTTTCTCTACCTAATCCAGACCAATAAAACCAATCCATCTGTCCACCTTCAGAAAAGGTGCTAAAATGGTAGGACTATATGCTGGCCAGTGTGCTACACTGTGCAGATTTAGCCACTGTTTTCTCTGATTTTATGCAGTGATGTTTCCTGGGAAATCTGAAGGTTGAGGACTCCATTATCTGATGTTATTGAGCTGCATTTATTTGTACTCTAAATGCTCTTCTGAATATTGGGCTTTGGTATCCTGGCAGTTGAATAATCACCTTGTCTAAATTAACAGGAACTAATGTTTTGCCATAGATTTATAAAGTGAAATTAATGCCTTATAAAAGAACAATCATGATACCTACAAATAATCACTAACCATGTCTGCGGTGCCCTGTAGATAGCAGAGCATCTAGTTTTGAAATTTGCACTTTTAACTGAATAACTATTTTGCTTCCAGGAAGTAAGATTAAATTTTCATTTGAAGATATTGTAATTAAATGTTAGCTTTCTAGGACACTATGAATGTGTTTGCCTGGCTTTGTTCTAAGCTATGCCAACTGAAATATTTTTTCATGATAATAGATATTTAAAAATTGTATTTAGAAGAATCCCATGTGCTGTTATTATCTGCTGTTATTACTGTATTGTGCTGTCATATGTAGACAGAAAAAACAAGATTATAATTAAAATTAAGAGGGCATACAAGGACTGCAGTATGTTTGCAAAATGTTTGCTAACTGAAAGTATTTATTGACCAGGAATTTCTTAGTCTGATACCTTATGGATCAGTTTTTCCACAAAAAACCTGTACTAAATTAGTTGGGGAGAATGATCTGTAAGCTCAGAAGACACTACCAAGAAATAACCAGCTATTCAACAGTAATTAGAAATACATGCTCAACTGTTCAGCGTTGAGAACATTTAATAGGTGCTCAAAAATAAATTATCATAGTTTGAAAAGTAAGACATTAGTAGTGAGCTGACTTGTAACTGTGTGGTGAATGTGATAGTGAATGGAAATAGTGTCAAGTTCCTGCAAAGTTGGATTTGGAACCTGTTTTTTAATATTTCTGTCAAATATATGGAAAACATTATAACCATTACTGGTAAAAAGAGGTAAGAAACAGCTGAGAAAACAATAAAATAGACAGTTACTGATAAGGATAAGCTCATTAATTGAGCTAAACTCAGGCCCATAAGATGTTTTTCAGTGTATCCGAATATAATTTTGTGTCTTGAAATAATAAAGGCACACTATATTTTCATCTTTATTCCAGGAAACCATTATCCTTTAACCTTCTGTCCCATAAGCAGGGAGTTCCAGTTATCAGTGAAAGCTGGACATGTCCAGTTATGCTTTGGCCAACAGGCCTCATACATCCAAGAGCTGCAGTACTGCAGCTGTATTGTCTTTGCATTTGATGGTGTTCTGATAAAATCTGGAATGCTGGTTCCAGATGGGTGTGCTTCAAGAAGGACATAGAAAACTGGAGATGATTCAGGGTAGGGTTGCAAGACTGATGAAGGAATTGGAAATGTGCTGTTTGCTGAAAGATTTAGAGCTCAGCCTTCTTAATTTATCAAAATCATATTTAAGAGACCATTTGATCACACTCTTAATGTATTCATTTAGGAGCAGAAATGTGGTAATAGATAGTGCCTCCTTCTAGCAAACAGAAATAAAACATAAAGCAGCAGCTTTGAAAGTAAGTCAGCCAAATTAATTTGGAAATAGGGTGCAAAATTCTAACCAGGAAGGGATGTAAAAACTGGAACAACTTACCAATAGGTATGACTCATTTATAAACACTAGAAATACTTTAGATTGCATGTGTTCCTGAAAAACACACTGTAGGGTTGGTTGGGTTTTAAAAGCACCAAACCTCTGCATGATTTTGTAGCAGGAGTGATGCATATAGTGTGTTATAGTAGGGCTGAAATGTTTGTATGCAATGCTTGGTGATCACAGCTGATTGTTCACTCTTAACAAGCTCCCACAGACATGGACTTCCTTGGAGCCCATGAAAATCATATGTAAAAACAAGAATTTCTCACACAGTAGAAGCAGGTTACCAAGAAGAGATTATTTTTCCCTTCCCCCCTGCATTTTCTTTATTTGCATAGATTCAATTTGAGAACAGATGAATAAAAGTTATTACTTATTTAGTATAAAAGACAATATTGAATTCAAGAAATGGGAGATGTGAAAATATTTGGAGACTGAGACGTAGTGAAGGAACACATTCTTATTTTACCCTAAACATTAAATTATCTCTTTGGGGAGATAATTTACTGGACTGATGGATTATTGTTCTGACCCCATGTGAATTTTCCCATATACTAACAGTGTTAGATTATACTCTGTTATCTGAGAAACAAAATCTGTAACTTTATTGACAGCTTGTAATGCAAAAGAATCTTTCTTTGAAATAAAGAGGATTTTAAAAAAATGAACAACCGGACTGAACTTTAACATTGATTAGTTGTATCAGTTTTACTATAGCAACTTGTACTATAGCAAGTGATTGTATCAGTTTTAATCATATCAGCTTAAAACTAGGGCGTACATTTTGTTCGTGGAACTGTTGTTCTGATGTGCTGGACAGATTTATAGCGCAGTTAATACCTCTGTTCCTTTAGATATGAATTTCCAGTGCTGGAAAAATACCCCAGAAATCAGCCTATGTAACTGGATTACTTTCCAACTGCTGAAATTACTTTTTCTGTCTTGTTTAGCTCTGAATGTTTTCAGACCATTTCGTAGTACAGTATACAGAACATGTTCATAGCCTACAAGTTGCCAGTACATCTGTGCATGAGCTGCTTAGAGCCACTGATGGAGTCATTGCTAGAAAAGCAAAAGAGTCAGTAAAATACTTGAATCAGAGAGAAAGCTGCATAATTAGGGCATTGCCTTTATGTGTCCTATTATGTAGATAACATGAAGCTGTCTGACTGGAGAGTGTGCTGGTGTAGACATTAAATTAAAGATCACAGTATTCAGAAGGTCTGATCTGATAGCAAGCACTGTCTTGGGCTCTTCCACTAATGGATAATATTCAACCAGCAGTACACTGTGTACTTATCTTAAATATCGGACTGCAACTGTTCTTGAAAGATTAACATACACAATAATCTGATTTTTTTTAATGTGCATATCTAGAAGTTTATGAAACTTTTTAATGAGCCTTTTTATTATAATAATTTAAAAATGAATGTCTTGGAAGCAGGGACTTTGCTACCATATTTCTTATTAAAGGTATCCGATACTGTTTGATTCAGGCAATTTAGCATAGTTCCAATAAACATCAATATATTTCTGTATGGTGAAGTTTATATTTCCCGTAAGATTAAAAATATTTTGCTTTCATTATTACTGTCTGCAAGGAGCACAATTTTGGTTTTTTCATCAAAGATGGTTAGGTCATCTGTATATATTATGCTCTTTATTTAGCTATGAAGTAGATTACATAACAACTGCACAAACATTGAAATCTAAAATTAGAAAATGGTACTACTAATTGCCATGTAAAATTTAAATATGCAGTGCTAATCCACACGTTTCTTGCTAGAATTTTTATTTAGCAATTTTACTTTCTGAATAGCAGTGATTTATGATTTTATATAGGATCTATTTGTCTGAGATATCAGGGAAGAATTTCTTTGTGTATATATATATTAGTATTTTGGGGATTCAGTTTTTACTGGCTACTTGTTAAAATCTTTATTCTATTTCAGAAATGTTACAGTTTGCAGTGATAGGGTAAATTAATATGAAACGGGTTTAAATTTATTCTTGATACTTGCTTAAAATTGAGTGGAAATTGTGAATACTTTTATAGTAAGTATAAAACCATCCTATTAATGACTCAGTTGAGTATTTTAGGATAATTTATTTTTCACTGGAAATGCAAGAGGGGAAAAGGGGCTGTGTTCTAACACTGCTAACAAAGTCACATATTTCATATATTCCACAAGTAGTACAAGTAGGAAATCAAGAGAGCTGTAATTTGGTGACATTTTGGGCATTTGTTTTTCCTTTTCAGTCGGTGGCAAAGACTGGGCGATTGCTGATTAGCCATGAGGCTCCCCTGACAGGAGGATTTGCATCTGAAATCAGTTCCACAGTTCAGGTACACAGGTTATTTGTTTTTAAGTGTTCTGTGTGGATGAGTGTTTCCCTGTAGAAGAAATACTTAACACTACATTAAAAGTAGAGGTTTTATATTTTTTTGAAGTTATTCTGTTTTGCAGTTTTTTGCATACTTGCCTTTCTTTATTGGAACAGATGAGAAATTATGTTCCTACTAGGCACTGTGCATAGTGTCTGCTAAGCTAGAAATTTAACTTTCACAGCAAAACATGGAGAATGTGCACTGTGAGATGCAGGGGAAAAAATCTTCATGTGTAGTCTGGTTTTAATGTTCTTTTTTATTTTTCTCATATGCTTATCCCTTGAGCTACTTAAAAATACATGCTAGGAATGATGAAATCAGACAAAGGAAAAGCATTCATATCTAGTACAGTATAAGACAGTGTGACACACAGTGCTCAGAGACCTCTTGAGAAAAGTCTGCAGAAGCTGTTCACGTGTTTGTGGTGATGCTCATGCACGTGTCAAGCTCGTGCACACAGAGCAGCTTGGAAAGGCTGAGATGTCCATCAGTGTCACCTACAGCTGGAGCATTAGGTTTTGGATGTCCTTCTGAGCTTTCTGATGTGTTTTATACCTGTACCTCCCTGGAAATTTCCCTTTTAACTTGATTTCTTTCCTGTGCACATCAGTAGTTACAGTTTCTAGAAACATCCAAAGTGTGCCCATCACTATTTGATGACTCTTTTTTGATTATTTTAGGATTGTTAAATTAAAGGACTAGAATGAAATGTTATTGTAAAATTCCCAATATTCAAAATATAAACCATGTAGGCAGTTATTAAAATTGGGTAATTAGCCTTTTTATGGGAAGGAATAGTTCTGGGAATGTAATTCTGAATTAAATATGCAGAAGGAATCAGAATACTATGTTTCTTTAACTTGGTGGTACAGTTTCTTTTAAAGAGTAGTTGAACTAATTTTAATGTAATCATGTTAAGTTAAATTCATTTTTTCTACCAAAATGTTTTCTGTGTTAAGAACCAAATATTTGGTTTCATGGAGACCTCATAGCAGCCCTCCAGTATCTTACAAGGAAGCTGAAGAAGGGCACTTCATCAGGAACTTTAGTGATAAGAAAGAGTAATGGATTTAAACTGAACAAAGGGAAATTCATGTTAAATATATGGAAGACATTCTTTACTGTGGGTATGGTGAGGCACTGGAGCAGGTTTCCCAGAGAAGCTGTGGATGCCCCATCCCTGGAGGTGTTCAAGGCCAGGTTGAATGGAGGAGCTCTGAGCAACCTGGTCTAGTTGAAGATGTCCCTGCCCATGGCAGGGAGTTGTAATGAGATGAAGGTCCCTTCCAACCCAAACCATTCTATGATTTTTCATCCTTCTAAATGATCAGCATTTGACCTCCCTTCTTTAGTAGACAGCCTCTGATTAAACTAGGACTAATAAAACCATAAGGTACTGCCAGCTGTGAGTGCAGGAAATTAATTTTCTTTATAAATTCTCACAAAAATGTGAAATAGACTCAAACAAAAGAGCCTGTCTTCTAGCATCTTGTATTATTATCAACACTTGAGGAGAAAGCTATTCTAAGGTGAGCAGCAAAGTTAAAATCTTCCAAATAACTAAGGAAAGCATATGTGGTGGATAAAAAAGTGAGCTGAAAAAAAAATCTTATCAGCAAATATAATTGGAAAAACATGGGATGCTCAAGATATTGCTAAAATTACAATATTAGTTTTTAATTTTCTGATCTCCACTGAGAAAGCCACTTACCTGATTGATCCTGCTTGAGGTGTTGTTTTTCATATCAGAAGTATATCTGACAAATGTCACTTGTTTAGAAAACAAAGTGGAAAATGCTTTAGTAAAAGGCTATTTATTTCTGTCAATATTAAAAGAAAATACTTGTTTTATTGTAGTTGCTCATAATTTTATATTAATCTTTCTTAGGAAACTAGGCTTTGTATCTTAAGAAATATTGGTCTATTACATGTGCTCCCTCAGAATAAATTTGAATATAACTCTTTGGTGTTGCATTTATCCATGACAAGTTTCTTTCATATAAATTGCCTGACTTGACTCTGTGTTATAACCATATTATAATTACTATGTATCTCCATTCTTGAAGATTCTATCACCCATACTAAAATTTTGATATGAGTTCTTTAAAGATTATACTGCAAAAGAGATTAAAATAAAAAGTTACAACTTTTTAAAGAACAGTATTGCTTTAGGCATAATAAAGACTTTACTTTTCTTATTCACTTAAAAATCTTGTTTTCTTAATGATCGAGTTAAGTCTGTATGTCTAATATCACTGTGCTGTAAAAATGAAAACAAAAAGTGAAATTCTCTTTTGCTGGATACAATGCATACTGAGAATGCCAAAAATTGGGGATTTCAGTTGGCTTTAGTTTCTTCTAACACATGGAAGCAATAAGACTTCAATAAAATATGTCCAGTTGGATTAGATGGTTAGTTTCCATATTGTTATTCCATCCTTGCTGTGAGGTCTCATCACAGAAATAAGGTGAATAGAAGTATATAGGCTATTTTAAAAGTTATTGGTCACATACACTTCATGTGATATACAATTCAAGGAAAAGAGATCAAATGGTAATGATGTCTTTCAGTCACGAACTATAGGAAAAAATACATTGAATACTTTCCTTTTTGCATATGAGAGGTTAAAAGCAGCATTTGGAGAGCATGTTAAATCAGATTTGTTGTGTGTCGAGTACAGAATATTTTAAAGGGACATGTTACTGCACTAAGTGGTCATTTGCTCAGATGTAAAACTAAAACCAAGAAAACATGATTTACTTAAAACTCTACATGCCAAAACTTTGCCCTTTGTTCTGGTATTTCATATGTGCTCTCAATGGGTATTCTGAAGTGAGTTATAGATACCAGCACAAATTCAATACAGGTGCAGTTAAAAGTCCAAATAGTTTATATTCTGTATAAAAGCTTGCAAAACTGTTCTGTTCAGCAGAGGAATGGTTAAACTTGAATAAAGCACAGTTTGAGAAGCACTGGGAGAGAAGTCCACTGAGATGTCACTTCCAAAATAATAAAGAACTGTGTGTGGAAATTATCAGTATATTAATCATTTGTAATACACAGAAACATAAACCCAGTAACTGTGTCCTGTTTAAAAACAAAAATAAGAAAAAAAAAAAAAAAGAAAAGAGAACCAGGCAGGATGGAGCCAGCTAGCACAAAGAGTAAGAGACTCTTCAGATTATTTCACAGAGTTGCTGCCTGCCAGCACTGGGAACTTGGTATGAGATGCAGGAGGAAGCATTTTGGAATCATACAAGCCTTGTGGGATGTTTAGAGAAGGAATCAAAGCTGGAGAGATGTGGGAGCCAAGGTGGTTTGGGGAAACACAGATATGGGAGAACAGAGAGAGAAAGGGATAAAAAGGAAGCTTGTATTGTGGCTTCATGGTGGTTGCTATTTTCTGATAGAGCTGAAATAAATTCAGAGAAGTAGCATATACCCTCTGGCATTGATCCTGCAAATATAGGAAATGTACATCTTAGGAAGATCTTGGTGGTTTTCTAGCCATTCTCTGTAAGTAATGTCTAAAATTACTAAAAATAGAAAATTAATAATTTTAAATGTTTTCATTTAAGGAATTTAAATTTTCATTTAGGAATTTTGATTTTTGCATACATTGATGCCATTATAGCTGGATACACCATGAAAATATATGCTGTTATTAAAATAAAAGAAATGTGTATGAGTAAAGAAATTTGCTGTCTATAAAGGAACAAGTTAGCACATTGTTTTTTGTGGACAGTTGCACAGATGCATCATTCTTGCAGGAACAGAGAAATTCTGACTTAATTGCTGTTCTTGTCTTTAGCACAGTTTCTTTTCTCACTGCCTGGTCAGTACTTTGTCCTTGGGCATCTGTCTGCACAGGGGATGTTGGGTCAGCTACCCAAGAAATGCTCAGGTGAGCACAGCTCAGTCCTCAGGAGCCCTTCCAGAGGACTTGGCTTGTTTCTCAGAATTACCCAGAAGTATCAGCCTCCCAGAGGAATGGTATCAGTCAGAGGATAGGACTCAGAAAACTCAGTGAAGTAACCTGTTTCTGAGAGTTGTGTTACATGATCTTGTTTTTTCAAATCTTGCATTCTATAAATTGGATATAACAGTATTTGACTGTTTGATCACTGATGCTTTAGATTTCTTTCTCCTGCAGCAAAATAAGGCCTAATCTCCAGTAAGTGGTGTAATTTTCTGCTAGAGTGTGGCATTAGGGGAAACTATTAGATGAGCTGGTTTTGTGAGAAGCATTTCAGGAAAAGGAAAAGTGGGTGTATCGTGAAATATCTTTTCAAGACATCAGAGTTCTACAGCATTTTTATCCTAAAGCAGGTTGCCATAGGAGAAAAATATGCCCAAAAAAGTAAAAGAACAAGAAAAAGAAATGTAATGACTTCAGCGGTGTGAACATTTGAAATAAAATGACCTGGTACTGACTGATATTGAACAGGAACTGTGTAGAGTAATTATTATTTTACAGAGTCTTAATGAAAAATTTCACATTTCCAACAAAATGCTTTCAGAATATTTGTCCCAAATACTTCTTCATACCATTGCATTATCTGTCTTTAGAATTTGGGATGTTGAGATTTCCAAATAGTTCCATTGTTTCAGTTTTCCATGAGCAGAAGTTAAGGTGGGGTTTCCCAAGGAAGCTGTTGCAGTTCTCTGTGGGTCTCTGTGGTGCTTTGAGGAAGTGAATATAGTGCAGTACTTAAAAATATCCATGGGACCAGGTTTGAGTTTCAGATTATGCACCTGTGTTTGTACTTAGTGCCAAAGGAATTAATGAATAACTTTGTCTCTGGGATTGCTTTTTAAGTTATGGTCAATAGCATGAGACTTTGTGCTGGTGACACTTGAAATCCTACTTTAATGAACAGGCTGTAAACTGGTATTAAAGTCTGACTTTATTGAAAGCAGTGATTCTGGTGTAATTGTTTTTCATTTATAGGTAAGT